TACTCTCTGGGGATCGACTGGAAGTGAAGAGAGAGCACCTCACTTCACCTCTTGGACTCAGGTCACCTCCCTGACATCTCCCTCCTCTAACCTCAACAACTAACTCCTTATTCCCCTCAATGTGGGTGAGGGTTCAGGCCACCTCTTCCTTCAATTCTGCATCCCTTGTGGGCCGAGTAGAGGGACTGAGGTGGGACCATCTCTCCACACACACCCAGCCTCCCTCCTCCCAGGTGCTGCAGTACTTGGTCAGCATATGTAAGATGGATGAATGTGAACTCCCCCAGGAATGACATATCTAGCACGTGCAAAGAAGGATTGCAGACCACGGAGAAAGGGTGTCATTCCAACAGCATGTGGCATGTGGGCCAGATTGGCTACCAGACTCCTGGTTCAGTCCTTGGTATTCAGACTTGGAGAAATAGGTCACTAGGAGAGAGGCCCTGGCTTGGAGAGGGTGGGAACGAGGACCCTGACCACAACCGCCCAGAGTAAGGCCTCAAGCTGATTCCAGAGAATTCAGATATGGCCTGAATGCCACCATAATGAGTTGATTCCTTTGGGTAAGTGTCGCCCTTTCAACTCAGCCCACATCCAGGCTCTGTGCCTTGGTTTTCTCAACCATCAAGTAGGTAAATAACAATGCCTATCTCCTAGTTCATTCATGTAAAGTGCTCAGGACATTTCCTGGTGTATGCACAGAGCTCAATAAATAAAGGTTAACTCACACTATGTGTCCCTTCAGGTAGCCTAGGCAGGCTCTTGCCCCAGTCACGTGGCCTTGCCTTTGCTCACCTCAAGCCAGCTGGAGCTGCCCTGAGCAGCCACCTGGGACTTCAGACGCCCTGGCCCATCTGGCATTTCTTTGACAGAATCTGCCAGGAGGCCTTTTGCTGGGTGGCCAGACTGGAGCGTCTGGCAGAACTCCCGGGGCCCCCAATCTGTCATCCCTCCTGCCACAGGGACAGCAAGGACACTTGGTTCAAATCTCCTTGGAGACAAGGCCTCCCTTTCACATGCCCACAGGGAATGGAGACTGGCAGTGAATCCAGAAGAAATCTCGAGGGCCACTAGGACCAGGAGACATGAATCCAAGGTCCAGTGGGGCTTCGACTTCTGAGACCTTGAACAAATCCTGTGACTTCTTGGAGCTTCATCTGCTCAACCTGATGGTGATTTCTCCCCCTTGAAACAGAACCATAAAGGGGTTCTGTTTCACATATAAAGTAGCATTAGTATTTTAGGATCCCAGTGTTTTAAAATCCAGGGAAATAGGTAATCTATGTTTCTCTGAGGCTAATTCTCTTTTCAACTACCAATGCCATCCCTGTCCCCAGGTGACCAGAGTCTATGGTGAAGTTCTCCAAATGAAGTTCCTTTGCAAAAGCAAATGTTCAATTGGCTGGGTCAAGGTTTTTGGATACTAAATTCAAAGAGTGGCAGCTTTTTGTCAATTTACAAGGTAACATCAAAGTCAATATTTTAGGACCGCTATGTCTGATAACAGTGGACTAGGTAATTTAAACCAAATTCCCAGCTGAGGACAATTTAAATGTGTCTCAAAAATGTGTGTGTATATACCATTTTGAGCAGTTTCAAAATATGTGTGTATGTGTGTGTGTGTATGTATGTATGTATATATCTTCTATATCATATATGTGTGTGTGTGTCTCTAGGGATAGCATTGGCAGTTAACAAAGATAAACAGTCACAGAGAAAAATAGATTACCTATTACCCTGGATTTTAAAACACTGGAATTCTAAATACTAATGCTACTTTATGTGTGAAACAGAGCCCCCTTCATGGTTATAATCTTGTCTGCCATCACAACAGTCTCTGAGGGGAGAATTACCATCAGGTTGAGCAGATGAAGTTCCAAGAAGTCACATGCCTTGTTCAAGGTCATATATACTCATACTACATAATATAGACATTATATTAAATAATATATTATAACAATATATTATTTTATCTATTATATAATAACGATATAATATATAATATAGATATATATCTCTGTAGACTTAAAAACATACATACATTATATATGTATGGATGGATGTATTTAAGTCTAATTGAAGGTATTGGGAGGCAAACAAGGCAGTAAAGAATCACAGAGTATAAAACATAAGTAGTTCATATTAAAGAAACAAAAAGAATCACAAGGTCACAGATCTAGGAAAAGAATGAAACCCAGAAACATATGCCTGGCATCTTGGGCTACTGTCTCCAAAGGAGGTTTGCTGATTCTAGAAGATACTGCAAAGATGCTGAACAGAGACTACCAAGAGGAAAGCATGCCTGGCAAATCTTTCATGCTTTGGGTTGGGACCCCAGAGGGCTTTACCCTAGGAATATGAATGAACTAGAAGTAGATAATCCCTCCAAGAAACTGTAAATCATCTCATTCCCTGCAGGTGGATTAAAGTGGTCTTGGTTCAATAGATTCCAAACCGCCTGCCAGATGTAAATATAATTTTCATGGAGGAAGATAATTTCATTCTAGGCCTGAAATTACTTCTACAGGTTTTCAAATACAATGTGTGGTGTTCAATAAAAAAAAAAAAATCACCGATTATGTGAGGAGACAAGATCAAACTAACAAAAACCAAGAAAAACAACAGATGCTAGAAACAGACTCATGAGGGCTCTGCATAAAGGAGTAATTGAACTTTAACATAACTATGTTTAATATGCTCAAATATATAAAAGACAATTTTGACAGAAAACTGGAAACAATTTTAATTGTTTCTATTTAATTTGTTTTAACTCCATCAGTTGCATTTTTTTTTTTGGAAAAAGCAGGATTTATTGAGAGAACAGAAAAGCTCCCAGAGTGGGAGGGGACCCAGGTGGTTGCCCATCAATTGCATTTTTAAAATGCAAGATGCTACTTCCTCCACACAGGTCAACAGATGAGTAACAAGCAAAAAACAAACAAATAAACAAATAAAAACCACAGCTGGGAAAAGCAAAAAAAGAAGAAATTGTGCTACATTCAAGGTTGCTTGTTTGACACTAGTAACAATACATTGCATATGGACCATCCTAATTTCTAGTAGAAAATTTGTTAATGGTTTGTATGATGCAATTAAACAGAGATACTCCCTGGAACTTTCTGGTTTTGAATAAAGGACCTGTCTCCCTTTTCCTTTGTACCTCACCAGACCCTAGCTATGTCCCTGGCCCAAGCAGTCATGGCAAATAAGAGGAAGAGGAGGAGGAAAAGGAGGAGGAGGAGGAGAAGAATTATTATTCATTGAAGCAGTTCCCATCTACCGAGCATTTGCTCTGTGCCAGGTCTGAGGGCTTTCCACACATTACCACATTTGATTTTCATAACCCTATGAAGAGGCTATGGCTATTCTTCCCATCTTATCAATGGAGAAACTGAGGTTGAGGGGACATACATAACATGTTCAAGATGCCCCAACAAGCAAGTTCAAGGTGCGGCTAACAAGCAACAGAACCAGGTTGTGGATCCAGGTCTCCCTGCTCCTGACGGCATGCTCCCAGACTCCCCACTCCCCGACTGCTGATTGCTGGAATAATCCCTGGATACCTGTAGTGAGAGGAGGCTTTGGAATTCTGCCGCCTATAAACACTCATTAAACACCAACTGCGTACTAAGCCAGGGAGACCTTGTTTTAAGGATCCAAAACCAAGACTTGGGGAAGTAAAAACACTTTAATAGATCAGAGGTCTGTCCATATCCTCTTCTCTCTCCTCTTCCTCATTTCTGGAACTCAGGGTTCAGCATGTAGGGATGACAGATGGGCTAGGCCACATATACAGGATAAAAGTAGTAATGCAAAATCCTGTTCTGGCCACCAGATCCCTCTTGGGAAAGCTGGGTAAGGGCTGTGGACGATGTTACCTTCTGGGGAGACAAGGGGAAGTTCCCACTGTGGGCCGGGTTCCAGGTCCCTTTGTTGGGAGCCAGTACTCAGAGAGAGGCTAAGGACCAGCCCTACTATTTCTAACCCAGGGTAGAGGCAGGAGGGTTCAGCCCTCAGAAAGTTCTCCCTCACTCTGCTAGGGTCCAGTAACTCAAGGCTGGGATCTGTGGAGAGTCTAAGGCTCTGAGACAGTGAAGGGAACAGGGACCATGAGGCAGAGCATGGAGCTAACCTGGACCTGAGCCATGGTGGACCCTGCCTGCTTAGTGGCTTTACCATGATAATAATAATATTTACCCTGCTTATGGGTTTAGTAGGGCAGGAGGGGCTCCTGGGGATAGCAAGGTAGTAATGGGAATAAGTTCATGAGAGGACAAAGGTGGAAAAGGACTTCCCTGGAGGGAAAAAGCAAAGGGTTGGAGAGGGCACAGAAGAGAAATTGGGGCACATGGGGAGGCCAGGCAAGGACAAGGGACAAGAGCTTGGAGAGGGACAGAGGGAGGCTTGGCCAGAAGAGGGCTGAAGGGAGGGGGAACAGAGCTGGACAGGGCCTCTGTCCCACCTAAGAGGTTGGGGAAGGGATTCCAAAGGCAGAGAACAGGTCCTTCCTAGTGATGATACATTGCAGCAGAAGGATAAGGGATAGACACCGGAAGAACCTGTTGGCTTTGTAGCTCAAAAGAAGTCAAGGGCGAGTCTGAGAATGAATGGAGGGGTTCTTGAGCAGCAAGGAGGTGCAAAGGGAACAGGCAAGGGGCAGTTAAGTTGAAGTCGAGGCAGTCCAGGCCTGCGTGCCAGCCTGGGCCCTGGGGCAAGAGCTACAGAAGTCAACTGGTCGAGGCTGAGTCAAAGTGGAGGACAGGCAGTCCCGGGGGTCACCTTGCCCTGTTATGGATTAAAAGGAAGCAGGTGAGGTGGCAGGAGGGGAAAGCAGGGCTCGGCCCGTCAGCCTCACTGCCGGGCAAGACCTCATCCTGTGCCCAGACGCCACCAAGTCCCTCAGTCTTCCCTCCCTCCTGGGTCCTGGAGACTCCAGTCCCTCTCTTCCCCCCACCCCCAGTGCTGAGCAATTAAGGGGACCGGAAACTCACCACTGGGTCCTACAGCTTCAGGGAGGTGACCCGGGGGATGTGGAAGAGCTGAGTCTCCTCAGAGCTGGTGGAGCTGCAGCATTCCAGAAAGAGAGTAAGCCCCACACACCGACCCTCAGCCCTAACACAGGGACAAACCCAGAGCCCTGGTGGTCCCACCTCAGAAGCCATCCAGGGGATGGGGAGAGTCCCAAGAACCTGCACCTGAATGGACGTATTGCAGCAAGGATATGGGGGAGACATATGGGAGAACTTCCTGACCCTGGAGCTCCTCAGAGTGTGTGGCTCTTCGGGGCTAGACCATGAGCCTCCACTGTTGGGCAGGTCTTAGGAGGAGTTCTGGTAGCTGAAAAGGGACACCTTCCTGGGCCCTGGTCTTCCCCACCCCCCGCAGTCTTGGCAGCCCCTCACCTGAGGCGTTTCCGGATGGGGCGGAAGTATTTGGAGGTCTTGACAGCAAAGATGATGCTAGGAATCAGGAAGAAGGTGCACCACGCCAGGCAGAACCAGAAGGCATTCTGGAACAGGGCCGTGCAGTCAGTATACCCACTCTACTCTGCACCCCCAGTCTCCCCTACTGACTTGGGGTCAGAGCTGACGGGAAGGGCTGGATGCAGGCCTGGGGGCAGGGGCTGTGCCTCGCCTCACACCCTGCTTACATGGCCTCTCTCACGGGCCTCAATGTCCAGGAGCCCTGATGAGTAGGGACACTCACCCAGGGGTCAGCCATCATATCACACAGGATCACACGGCCATTGTCCAGGGCTGCAGAGAGAGGCTGGCAGGTGGCAATGCGCTGAGTCACCTGTGGTGCAACACGGAGCAGGTGTATGCCGAGACGCCCAGACTCATGGGTGTACCCATATTCGGAGAAGGAGGTTGACAAAGACACAGACGGGCCCAGGGACACAGTTTGGGGCCACCATACACTTATACGTAGACAGAGAGGCCAGAAAATATACAGACACACGCATGCAGGGACACACGCAGACAGATGGGGACACATTCACACGGGCTCCTTGTTCACCCCGACCCTTTCTCATCCACCCACCAGCCTGAATTAAGGCCCTACTGTGTGCCTAGTGCTGTGCTTTATGTCACACTCTCACTGGGAGATGACACATATGTGCATGCACACAGGTGTGCACACACATGGATGTCCTTCACACATGTATGTCCTCCACAAATATGCATGTCCTCACATACTCATGCACACACACATGAACACACACACGCATGCACAGGCACACTCAGGTTTAAGGCAGACCCTCTGCCGACCTAATGGGGGTGTCCAGACAGCTTGTAGAGGCTGGGAGTGTCCAGATAGCAGCAAAGGTCTGCAGGAGGAGGTGGGCATTAAGGGCAGGCCTTGGACAAGCTGGGCAAGAAGCTGGCCTAAGGAAGGCCTTGGAGACCAGGTGTAACAGCATGTCCTGGAGAGCCATAGCTGACCTCACTCACACTCAGGCCTCAAGGAAGGACTGTGGCATAGGTGGGACGGGCAGAGCCCAGCAGGCAAGCAAGGGAGCAGATACCAGGTGTAGGAGTTTGGGCTCAACCCTGAAGGCCTAGGCCACCCCCAAGGGACTCTGGGGGTGGAGATGGGACAAAACAGGGTGAACACCGGGGGCAGGAAATCATAGCCCTGAGTGTCCACTCACCTCCTCTCTCACCCAGGCCACATACTGGGAGAAGTAGCCCATCTCCCGGATCAGGAAACACTCGCTGACCTGCAGGAAAGAGAGGAGGCCTGGGCTGGCAGGGGTCCCAGAGCCAGCAGTTACCCACCCGCACCTCTCCCTGTGTGTGTCAACACAAGAACAGGCCAACCTTCCTGGGAGCCACGGTGAAGGGGCAGGGCTGGAGGAGATGCCTGGGATGGAAGCCCCCTATTCCATCCCACCCTCCACTCACATTCTTTGCAATCCGGGTGGCCCAGGCAGGCAGCTCTCCTCTTAGGTAAGTGACATTGGCTAGGACATCAGAGGTCTGCAGTTGGTGGGGGAAGAGAGTCTCAACTCAGTCCTACTAGGTCACAGAGCAGCTGCACATTCATTCATTCATTCATTCATTCGTTTGTTCATTCATTCAACAAATAACACACAACACCTTAGCAGGGAAAGAGGACAGACCCTGAGGACAGAGAGACTAAAAGTGGTGGTCCTCAAGACTCTCCCCACCCACTCCCATCTTCTACCATTCCACTCTCGACCTCCCAGGGGACTGGGCAGAGCCGGCAAGGCCCCGAGCCAGGGCCCCCACTTCCTCCCTCACTCTGCAGTCCATCTGCTCCTCCCGACCCTCTCCACCCTCGGCAGACACCTGGAGATGTGGGACAGAGGACTCCAGGGTCCTGACACTGAGGTTGAGCTTGGCCTGTGGAGAAGAGATCAGGGCTGGTAAGAGGATGAGACGGGGAGACAGGGTGTGGTTCCTGGCTCCTTCACCGCCCCAGCCCCAGCCCCAAGATCCATGGGCATCCAGACTGACCACCAGACTCTGCTGGGGGACAACCTTCTCCTGGTAGAGGGTTCTGAGCTCATGGGCCTCCTTTTGCAACTGCTGCCCCAGTGCAGAATTGACCTGAGAGGAGACAGAGATCACAAAGGTCTTGCCCAGGACAGGACAGAGCAGGAGGGAGGAGGAGGGTGCTGGGCTCAGAAGCAGAAAACCGAGGCTCCTTAAGTTCCAGGGCCTGACCTGGGCTTGGGGGCCTATGCCCAAGACCTACGTCCACCCTAGCTTGCTGGGTGTCTCTAAGTCAGCCACAGAACCTGCCAGCCACAGTGGCATCTGCTGAAACTGAGGAATGCTCCTTGCTCTAACCACCATGTGGGGCTGTTTTGGGATCTATGAGATGAACAGAATATTTATAAATACAAAATGCTATTAACATGCTCCCCCCTGGAGGGCAGCTGTCATGGTATCCGATACATTGCAGTGTCCTTACAACACCTGTTCTGGCAAATCACCAAGCAGCATGTGCAGAGAAACACTCGCCCAGCTGCATGAGATCAGAGCAGCTACTTCATCTGATCAGAGATGGAGGGCAGTCCATTTTGTGGATGAGGAAACTGCGGCCCAGACATGCTGTATGGCTTGCCCAAGGTCATATAGCCAATGGGTTGCAGAGTTTGGGTCTGATGCTGCGAAACCCTCAAGCCCAGTTAGGAGCCTTAGGCCTCAGTGGTGGGGGCCCTCAATCCCTGCCTTTGCTCACGCCTCCACCCCAATCCAGGCAATCCCAAGCATTCCTGTTTCAGCAGATGCCACTGTAGCTCAGACAGGCCCTGTGGCTGACTTTGGGGCACCCAGTAAGCTAGAGTGGACCTCTCCTGCCTCCCAGGCCTTCCTCTGACTCCTGCTGCCCGGGGGGGGGGGGGGGTATTCTAATTAGGATCTTGGAAATTCTAAAATAATCTAAGTTTCTAATGACAATGTTTCTTGTGAAAGACCTAATATTCAGGATGTACACAGCCCCTTGCCAAAGATGAGGAAGAATCGGCGTTATATCAGTCCTCAGTCCTTAGACTCAACAGGCCATCTGCTGTGAGCTAAACAAGAATCAGGGTTTAGAAGCTGAAACATAGGTAATAGCAATCCTCATATGCAGAATCTATATGATCTCTTGCTAAGGAAAAACTAAGAAAAACCTTTTACACGTTTCCACCCTCACAGATATACATGACATCTTGCTAATGACAAAACAAGAATCAGGGTTTCAAACAGGAT